GCTGAATTCACTATGAGAATAATGGTGATAATAGAGTTTTAGTTGTAGTTAAGAACTTCTTACCCCAAATCCAGGACTTTACATTGTCTCATGCTCTGCCAGAGAACAGGTGCACAAGCAGCTGGGAAGGAGCATTTCTGAGAGAGCTGACCGAAACTGCCCAAAAGCATATTTCCTCCCAGTGAACCTCAATTTCAGTTTGGAAACTGTGGGTAGCTGGCCAGCTGCTGCCTGTCACTGCTCAGGGACAGGCTGGGCACCAGGTCAATGGGTGCAGAGTAATAATGTTATGTATCCCATGGATTTACTTGACTGTTATTTCTCTCTCTTTTCTTGTTATTTACTCCTGTTATTGCTCTGTTTACATCTCCACCTGTCAGTTCTACCCTTTTTTCCATCCCACTAGTGGAAGGGGGTAGTGAGGGAGTGCCTGTAACACGCAGCAGCTGATGGGGCTTTAACCACAACAACCTGAGCACCAGGCAGCATCTCTGTGTCTCCACAGCTATGGCATGAGCTGCAGCTCCCCTGACAAAGCCTGTGTTTCACAGTCCAGCAAGGAATTTCCAGCTTCTATTCTTGGTGGATTATGGATATTTAGGTGAGGATTCCCCTGGGCCTTTGCTCTCTGTTTTCAACTGGAAATAAAGAAGAATAAGCAAGCCAGGGCAGCCCTTGTGTCCTTCAGCAAGCGGCAGGAGATATAGTGGATGGGCCAGACAAGATGCTCAGAAACACCAACAACCCCTGCAGAAAACTCCACTCAGCCTTCTTCCTCCTGGTCCTTGTCCTGGTCACCAGGGCTATACTGTGGCTGACCTGGGCAGTCTCCTGCTGTGGGCAGGGACAATTCTCAAACAGCAGAGATTTCAGGTCTCAGGGTAGTGGTGTACACTGGGGTCCCAGGTCACTGCAGGGCCCTTTCCTTGGAGACCACTGGGGCTAAGGACCAGTGGGCTTTATCTTTCCAGCTGGTGGAGAGAGAAAGCGCAGTGTGAACTATTCCACATCTTGCTTCCCAGGCCATGAATTGACATAAGAGATTGAAAGGAAGGAGAGATTGATGAGAAAGGGAATAAGAAATAGGAAGGGACTAGGTGTGAGGGGACAGAGAGGAATGGTCAAGGGGACAGATAGAAAGACAAGAAAGAAAGAAAGTGAGAAGCAGGCTGTGAATGGGAGATAAAGGAGGTGAGACAGTGAGGACAAGAAATATCGGGAGTGAAGTGGTGATTCGGAGATGGGAAAAACCAGAAAAACAGCTAGAGACCAAGCTAAAGACAGATAGATGAACAGATGGACAGACAGTCATACCGTGTTTTTCCTGAAGAGCTGGTAGGCATCTAAGAAAAGGGGCTTCTCTCAAACACAGGGCTCAGTGTGTGAGGGTGGTAGATCCCTGTTTGCTGGAAAAGGTTTGTGACATGCTGCTTCAGCCATTGAGTCACTGTGGATCTTGTTCAGCACAGAAATATGTGCCTGTGTCATTGAGTAGGGCATGCTCTATCTTCACAGATAAATGGTTGCTCCTAGTCCCATTGCTCTGGAAGCGATTTTTGAATTCCTTCTCAATATCTGCTTTGCCACCTTCCACTGAATATACAACCAGCTGCATTCTGGCATCCTTCTCCTTGGGTAACTTGTACCAGTACATGTATATGAAATCTTTTCCTGATGCAGAACATTCCAGAGTCACGGTGTCTCCCACCCGGACAACTGAATCTGGTGATTGCTCAAGGGCCCAGCCTGGAAAGACAGGAGATGAAAGGTGAGAAGTCAAATGCATTTAGGAGGACAAAAATACACATCCTTGAAATACGCCATGGGATGGAATGCCACCAGGATATCAGAAAGCTATGGGCCGGTGCCCTGCTTCACTGAAAAAGGCACATGGGATCAAAAATCCCAAAACAAACCAACTTCAAATGCAACAGTAAATCTGTTTGGAGAAATAATGACTTTGGTACTCTCAAGTGAAGTACTAAAATGGGGCAGGAAAAGACAAATTTGTCACTTTGCAGAGTTCCCCGATTCAACAGGTGGTGGGAAACTGACCTGGTTCATTGCTCACCCCCTCACTGGAAGCCTTGGGAAGGGGCACTGGGAGCAACTGGGAGCACAGCTGAGGATGCAGCAGCAGCTCCAGTGCAGCTTCTCAAGAGGAAGGGAAGCCCACTTACCGACAGGGAGCAGCATGACCACAAGGAACCCCTGGAAATCCATGGAGAAAGGCCCCCTCCTTCCAGCCACCTGCCCCTGGTGACAGCACAGACACAGAGATGTGTAAAGAGGAGAGCTGGAGAGGAAGAGATCAGTCTCTCTGTGGGTGGGCAGGGGAGTGAGCGGGAGTCTGCAGTGTCACAGGGCTGTTGGCTGTCCAGGAACGGTGGGGAATGACACCTGCAGGCAGTCCTGAGGTGCTTGTACTCTGCTCCTCTGGCTTCCTGCTGTGTGTGAGCGTGGGTGTGCAAGAGTAGGTGGGACTTCAGTAGCTGGCATAGTTCAGAGCTGTCACGGAGCAGGATGGGGCTGTGTGGCAGCCTGAGCGTGTGCACGGGAATGCACAAATGGCAGAAACTGATGGGAAGAGAGGGAGATCTCAGGAATCCATGTTTGTGTCTGTGTCCAACTGTTTGTCTCCTCCCTAGCCTCCCTCACACTCACAGACTGCCACCCCAGGAAGCTGCAAAGTGGAGTCTCTGCTTCTCCCAATCAGGCCTGATGTGTTGACCAGGTATGGGAAAAGATGCTGACCTGCCAAGCTGGTGTCTCTTAGAGCCTGGCAGAGAACAGTTCTGTAGCTGTTCTTCTATAACTTGAAAAGGGCATCTCAAGGAGAGAACAGGCTGCCTTTACTTCTGCACTGGGATTATCCTTTTGTAGACACTTCAATTCAGAGAGATGTCTGAGGAGAAGGATGTGCCCCACAGAATGTGCTGCTCCACACTGACCTTCTCCATGCCAGAGAAGAACACACGCTCTTCTTGCCTCTTTATTGCAGCACTCTCTGCAAAAGAGCACCAGGACACAAATGGACAAAGCTGGAGAAAAACATGTCCTCTGCTCTGCACACAGCCTTGGTCACCTGCCCAAGGCAGTGGGAAATCCCTGTAGGCAGGAAGAGACACTCGTAGTTTGTGTGCACTGAGTTTGGGCCCAGAGGAGTGACAGACTCGGCACATCCGTGCTGTGCTGTGTGCACGGCAGTGTGAGGCTGGCCCACACAGGACAGCAAGGGATCCGACAGCTCAGGATTCTGAAGGGCTTTGCAGTGAAGATGTTCCTCTGTGTCCTGTCAGCAGAGGAGAGCAGCAATGCCTCCAGATCCTCCCAAATCCTCTGCTGCAGGTCTGAGTGTGTCACATTCTGTATGTGCTGGGTTTCCAGAGGAATGAAGGAATGATGAATCTGATTCCATGTTAGTAGAAGGCTAATTTATTATTTTATGATACTGCATTATATTAAAGAATACTTAAAATATATTATACTAAACTATACTAAAAAATACAGAAAGTATACTTACAGAAGAACGCAAAGATACTAAAGAACAACTCATGACTCTCCAGAGCCCCGACACAGCTTGACCCTGAATGACCAATAAGTCAAAACAATTCACATGAAACCAATGAAACAACCACATATCGGATAAACAATGTCCAAACACATTCCGAAGCAGCACAACACTGGAGAAGCAAATGAGATAATATTATTTTCCTTTTCCTCTGCACCTTCTCAGCTTCCCAGGAGCAAAATTCTGGGCAAAGAGATTTTTCCAGAAAATATGACTGCCACATCACATTGCATTCATTTCCCAAAGCTGCCTAGAGAAGATTCAGCAAAGACCCCAGAGTCCTCCAAAGAAGTGGGAGAAATATGCAAAGGGATTAGGCTACTTTGTAGAAACCCCAAATCCTCCCACCACCAGCAGCACTCCAGCAGAGAGGAGGCTGTGCCTGATGTGTCCATGCAAAGAGTCTCCAATTCCCAGGGGTGAGCAGAGGGCAGGGCAGTGCATGGGGAGCCTTGCAGAGGACAGTCTATTTGAGGAGTGAGTGATGTTGAACAGGCACGGCTGCTGTGTGGGGCCCTGTGTTCAGGTCCTGGGAAGCTTGGACATTAGAATGGGAATCTGCAGGGTGGGAAGCACCTGGAGTGCCCTGTGCAGGCCTGTGCTGTGCGCGGCTGTGTGTTATGCAGGAGAGAATCATGGCATGGGCCAGCTCAGAAGGGACATCAGGGGGTCACTGCTCCAACCTCCCTGCTCAAGCAGAGTCATCCCAGAGCACCTGGCACACGATTGTCTCCAGTTGGTTCTCGAATATCTCCAGAGAGAGAGGTTCCACAACTTCTTTGGGCAATCTGCTCCAGGGCACGGTCTTCAACACTGCAAAGTTCTTATCTCACATTCAGGTGGAACTTTCATCTCAAGGCAGACCTGGCCCAGCCCCCTCAGCCTTTGTTCACTAAAGAGCTGCTCCACTCTACTAATCATCTTTCATCTCCTGTCCTGGACATTCTCCAGAAGATCCATCACTCTTTTGCACCAAGGAGCCCTGAACGGGACACAGCACTCCAGATTCCCCTCACCAGGGCTGAGTGGAGCCTCACCTCCCTTGCCCTGCTGGCAATGCTCTTCCTATTGCACCCCAGGAGACCATTGGCTTCTTGGCCACCAGGACAGACTGCTGGCTCATGGGGAGCTTCTTGTCCTCCAGGACCCCCAGGTTCTTCTCTGAAGAGCTGCTTCCCAGCTGGTCAGTGCTTCCCTGTGCTGCTGCATGGGGCATTTCCTCCCCAGTTGTGGAACCCTGCATTTGCCCTGGCTGAATTTCAGAAGGTTCCTCTGTGCCCGTCCCTCCAACCTGTCAAGTTCCCTCTGAAGGGCGGCACAGCCTTCTTGGGTACTGGAAACTCCTCCTAACTTGGTGATATCAGGGAGCTTGATAAGGAGACTCTCTAGCCCTTCATCTGAGTCACTGATGAACAGAATGATGTAACCTGGGAGAAATTTCTCTTATCTGCTCAGTTTGCTAGCATAACCTGTAATTTTTGTAGTATGTTTGCTGAAGATAAACTGTATGTGGATGTAGGACTGGAAGGCAGGTGGATCCTGAAATAAATGGGCAGGAAATCTTTCTCTTTTTTAATGCCTTTATTAAAGAGAATTCAGCTCAGGTGGGGAGAAGTAGACGGGTTGCGCCCACGCCGCAGCTGTCCCCAAGAGTGGCATGGAGGAGGAGGGTGATGCAGCTTTGTCCGCTGGTCTGCAGACAGAGCTGGGCACTGCGTCCTCATGGGAGATTAGCAGATTCTTACTTTTTGGTCCAACACTTCGGGTCCCCTCCTTAGTGAACATCCTTTCAGGTCAGGGTGAGAAGCAAAAAGGATTCATGCAGGCACTGGACTTCGTGCCCATCCTTAGACATCACCTAGGTCCCCTAATTCTATATTGGCTCGTTGTTTTTAGGGGTTTTCCTGGAAAACGGGAAGATTTGGAGCAGTGCATTTCTCATCTGCATACGTGGTCTCAGGCCACTCCTATTTTCCTGATGCTGCCATGTCCAGGTGTTGCTCCCGGGCAAGCATCAGGAGGACAATGGCTATATCGCCAACCATTGACGGGCAAGTGAAGAAGAACTCTTAACAATGAAGCTAACTTAACAGCAATTGGTCTAAAAGCTTTTAGCTCTGTAACCTTAAACAAAAATAGATAACTTTTTATTCATAACAGATTCTACCCCAGTCATCACTCTACATGGAGCAGTTAGGGATCCACATAATACTTTACCTGAGTAAGCACAGGCTTGCGCTCTGCTGTTCATATTCCTTGGCCACAGAACAACCACAGACAAGGCGTTGTAACACAGGAGCATGTGGGCAGCTCCCACATGGTACTGGCTACTTCCTACACCTGCCAGGCCTTGCCTTCATCTGCAGGTGCACCAAGAACTTCCCACACAAGTACTTCTTTGCCATTTTACAAATGAGCAAACCAACAGTGAGAAGTAGGAGCAGGGTTGACTGGAGTTAAGTAAGAGGAATACAATGGAGGGCAGATTGAAGATAGAATGGAGAAGGTGGGGAAGGGAAGAGCGATAGAGGAGAAAAAGGGCTGAAAGAAGGAAGTGTAGTGCCAATAAGACTTAAATGGAGAGGGAAGCCTGAAGTGGCAAGGAGAGAAGGCAGGAAATATAAATTGTCAGCATTTGGGAAGAGGAAAGAAAGGCAAATAAGCAGAGCAGATAATGAGTGAGAAAGCTCGTGCAGCACCCACAAGGTGGAAAGCAGCTCCTGTTTGTGCAGGGACAAGTTTGTGCTCAGCTCTCTCAGCACTCTCACCACTGTGATCACCCTCAGCACAGTAGTATGTGCCAGAGTCATTGAGAAAGGCATGTTCAATTGAGAGGGTGATACTGTCTCCTTTTATATTGCTGCTCTTGAAATGGCTCTCAAAACTCTTCTCCACAACTGAGGTACCACGTTCTAATGCAGAAACCAGTAGGGTGAGACTGGAATTCTTCTCTGAAGGCAGCACGAACCAGTACATAGCAGTACTGGTGGATTTCTTCTCAGAACATTCAAGATTCACGGACTGGCCTTCTTTTATCACCATGTCTGGAGACTGTTCCAGGGCTAACCCTGGAAAGGAAAAGTAGAAGCAGTGAGAAGGAAAAAATGAGAAAAATCTCAACTAGGCACTGTGGGTTGATATGGAAAGGGTGAGAAGAAATAGGGTAGACAAGGTACCAGTGCAAGGAATGAGACAGCACTGCTGATCATCAGGTGAATTTCCAATCTCTCCTCAGTAGGCAAGATGCATTCCTGAGCAGTTTGCATCCAAAACCAGGAACCATCTATGGGCTGCACAAAGTTTGACAAATAGAGGGCCATTGGAGAAGATTTCAGGGATTCCTGGCCGTCACAATATCTGTCTTTCCCAGACCTGGCTGGCTCAGTCCCTGCATGGCCACCCCATGTCCCACCCAGCTGTGTGACCCAGCTTTGTGACAAGCCACATGGCTGTTGGCTGTGCAGGAACGGTGGGGAATGACACCTGCAGGCAGTCCTGAGGTGCTTGTACTCTGCTCCTCTGGCTTCCTGCTGTGTGTGAGCGTGGGTGTGCAAGAGTAGGTGGGACTTCAGTAGCTGGCATAGTTCAGAGCTGTCACGGAGCAGGATGGGGCTGTGTGGCAGCCTGAGCGTGTGCACAGGAATGCACAAATGGCAGAAACTGATGGGAAGAGAGGGAGATCTCAGGAATCCATGTTTGTGTCTGTGTCCAACTGTTTGTCTCCTCCTTTGCCTGCCTCACACTCACAGACTCCCAACCCTGCAAGCTGCAGTGTGGAATCCCTGCTTTTCCCAGTCAGGCTTGACATGTTGTCCTGGTCTGGGAAAAGCTGCTGACCTGCCAAGCTGGTGTCTCTTGGAGCCTGGCAGAGAACAGTTCTGTAGCTGTTCTTCTGTACCATATCCAAAGGGGCATCTCAAGGAGAGAACAGGCTGCCTTTGCTTCTGCACTGGGACTGCCCCTTGAGAGACTGCACCTCGCAGAGATTTCTGAAGAGAAGGATGTGCCCCACAGGATGTGCTGCTCCACACTGACCTTCTCCATGCCAGGGAAGAACACACGCTCTTCTTGCCTGTTTATTGTGGCACTCTCTGCAAAAGAGCACCAGGACACAAATGGACAAAGCTGGAGAAAAACATGTCCTCTGCTGCGCTGCACACAGCCTTGGTCACCTGCCCAAGGCAGTGGGAAATCCCTGTAGGCAGGAGGAGACACTCGTAGTTTGTGTGCACTGAGTTTGGGCCCTGAGGAGTGACAGACTCGGCACATCCGTGCTGTGCTGTGTGCACGGCAGTGTGAGGCTGGCCCACACAGGACAGCAAGGGATCCGACAGCTCAGGATTCTGAAGGGCTTTGCAGTGAAGATGTTCCTCTGTGTCCTGTCAGCAGAGGAGAGCAGCAATGCCTCCAGATCCTCCCAAATCCTCTGCTGCATGTCTGAGTGTGTAACATTGGATTCATTTCCCAAAGCTGCCCAGAGAAGATTCGGCGAAGACCCCAGATTCCTCTAAAGAAGTGGGAGAAAAATGCAATGAGATTGGGCTACTTTGTAGAAACCCCAAATCCTCCCACCACCAGCAGCACTCCAGCAGAGAGGAGGCTGTGCCTGATGTGTCCATGCAAAGGGTCTCCAATGCCCAGGGATGAGCAGAGGGCAGGGCAGTGCATGGGGAGCCTTGCAGAGGACAGTCTATTTGAGGAGTGAGTGATGTTGAACAGGCATGGCTGCTGTGTGGGGCCCTGTGTTTAGGTCCTGGGAAGCTTGGACATTAGCATGGGAATCTGCAGGGTGGGAAGCACCTGGAGTGCCCTGTGCAGGCCTGTGCTGTGCGCGGCTGTGTGTTATGCAGGAGAGAATCATGGCATGGGCTGTTGTGTTGCGGGGTTCGTTTGGTGTGTTCTGTTGCCCCCTAGGGCTGTGGTGGTTCGGTCCTGGGATCCCCCTTCCCCCTCCCCTGGAACCTCTCCCTCTGAGAGTGTCAATTCGTTCTCTCCTCCCCTGTTTCCCTGGTTGCCTTCTGTCAATCCCTCCCCGGGTTCCTGTCCGTCGCCCACTGTCTCCTTCCCATGTTCCGGAGGGTTCTCCTTTCTTCGGTGGGTGATTGGATCGGGAGCGGGGGTCCCTCCCTGTCGCATTCCCTGCTGGCTGGCCGGCGTGTTTCTCACGGGTTTGTTCACTCCCCGGTTCGCCCTCGTTGGTCGGTGTGTCGTGTTCCCGCCCCCTTTGTGGGCTGCTGTTTCCCTGACTCGTGGTCCCTGCTCGGCTGGTGCACCTGGAGTTAATAAAGGCTCTGGATTTTACCCCCGAGGAGGGTCCCTCTTCTTCTCAAGGCAGAACAGCCTCATCTCCTTCAGCCGTTGTTCACTAAAGAGCTGCTCCACTCTATTAACTGCCTTTCTCATCCACTGGACCTGCTCCTCGAGCTCCATGTGTCTTTTGCACAAAGGAGCCCAGAACGGGACACAACACTCCAGATTTGCCTCACCTCCCTCGCCCTGCTGGCAATGCTCTTCCTAATGCACCCCAGGACACCATTGGCTTCTTGGCACCCTGGACAAACTAGTGCCTTATGGGGAGCTTCTTGTGCACCAGCACCCCCAGGTCCTTCTCTGAAGAGCTGCTTCCCAGCTGGGCAGTGCTTCCCTGTGCTCCGGCATGGGGCAATTCCTCCCCACGTGCAGGACCCTGCATTTGCCTTGGCTGAATTTCAGAAGGTTCCCCTGTGCCCATTCCTTCAACCTGTCAAGGCCCATCTGAAGGGCTGCACAGCCCTCTCGAGTATGGGAAACTCCTCCACCCTTGGTGTTCTCAGGGAACTTGATAAAGAGACGCTCTAGCCCTTCATCTGTGTCACTGATATTTAGAACACGGCAACCTGTGAGAAATTTCTCTTATATGCACAGCTTGCTAATGTAACCTGTAACTTTTATAGTGTGTTTACTGAAGATAAACTTATGCGGATCAAGGGCTGGAAGGCAGCTTGATCCTGCCCCAGACACCACTCTACGTGGAGCAGTTAGGGATCCACATAACACTTTCCCTGAGTGAGCACAGGCTTGTGCTCTGCTGTTCATATTCCTTGGCCACAGAACAACCACAGACAAGGCGTTGTAACAGAGGAGCATGTGGGCAGCTCCCACATGTTACTGGGTGCTTCCTGCACCTGCCAGTCCTTGCCTTCATCTGCAGGTGCACCAACAACTTCCCACAAAACACTTATTTGCCATTTGACAGTGAGAAGTATGTGCAGGGTTGACTGGAGCTAAGTAAGAGGAGTACAATGGAGTGCAAATTAAAGACAGAAAGGAGAAGGTGGGGAAGGAAAGGGAGACAGAGAGGAGACAAAGGGCTGACAGAAAGAAGTGTTGTGCAAATAAGAGCTAAATGCAGAGGGAGGCCTGGAATGGAAGGGAGACAAAGATGGACAAATAAACTATCAGCATCTGAGAAGGAGAGGAAGGCAAGGCCAGGAAGCAGAGCAGCTAATGAGTGATAAGCCACGTGCAGCACCCACAATGTGGAAAGCAGCTCCTGTATGTGCAGGGAAAAGTTTGTGCTCAGCTCTCTCAGCACTCTCACCACTGTGATCACTCTCAGCACAGTAGTATGTGCCAGAGTCATTGAGAAAGGCATGTTCAATTGAGAGGCTGATACTGTCTCCTTTTATATTGCTGCTCTTGAAATGGTTCTCATAACCCTTCTCCACCGCTGCATTAGCACCTTCAATTGCGTAAACCACCCGGGTCAGACTGGAATTCTTCTCTGAAGGCAGCATGAACCAGTACATAGCTGTGTTGGAGGATTTCTTCTTGGAACAGTCCAGATTCACGGACTGGCCTTCTTTTATCACCATGTCTGGAGATTGTTCCAAGGCTAACACTGGAAAGGATAATTAGGAGCAGTCATGAGAAAGAAAAATTGGGAAAATCTCAGCTAAGCACTGTGGGTTGGTAGGGAAAGGGTGAGATGACATAGGGCTGCCAAGGGACCAGTTCAAGACATGGGACAGCACTGCTGATCAGCAGGTGAATTTCCAATCTCTCCTCAATAGGCAAGATGCATTCCTGGGCAGTTTGATTCCAAAACCAGAAATCATCTACATACTACACAAAGATTGACAAATAGACAGACATTACAGAAGATTCAGGGTTTCCTTCCTCCCACATTCACTGCTTATCGTCAATGCAGAAAGCTCTGCAGAATGAAGCAGTGCCAGGAAGTGGCTAGACAGCTGGGAGAGCAGCAGTGGGATCAGTGGAGGTGCTCAGGGCTGCGTTGGGTTCACTTACCCAGAGGGGCCAGCACGGCCACAAAGAAACAGCAGGGAAGCATGGGGGGAAAGCCCCTACCCTCTCAGCAAGCTGCCTCTTGTAGCTGCCCAAAGGTATGTGGAGAGGGAGCCGTGAGTGAGGGTGAGACATCTCGGGGTGGGGCTGGCCAAGAAATGAGAGAAGGCATTGGCTGGCTGGGAGCCATGGGGAATGACAGAGACATTGTGTGTCATTGTCCCCTCTGCCCTGAGAATTGGCCTCTACGAGGACATTTGCTTTCCTGGCAGGACTGAGCTTGTCCTGCAGTGGGCTGTGGAGGCTGCTCCTAGGATTTAGCCCATGAGAGCACTGGGCTCTAGAAAGCAGCTGTACAGAGCAATTGCATTCACTGCAGCTCTGCCAGGGACACCTCGGTGCTGCTCTGCTCACAGGCTGAGGAGACCCAGGCCACTGCAGCCTCTCCACGGCACCCTCAGATGATTCTGCACTGCAGGAAATCCACGTGTCCTCTGCTGCATGGGACAAAATCTGCATGGGATAGCTGGGGAACCCGATGAGCACAGGGATAAACAACCTCTGGGACAATGGCAAGGGGTGGATGGGACACATGGAAGGAGTGACAGGCCATTCTGACTAAGCGTGGTGGCAGCAGAATTCCCTTCTCCTTCCTGTGCTTAGAGCTCTGCCTGACAATAGGGAAGAAGAGAGAAGTGGAAATGGGTGAGGATCCCTGGTGGATCTTCTGTCTCATAACGCTGGGAATGGGAGGGCTCGTGAGGTGTCACCAAATTAAGTGTTTCATTGAAGGAAAAATTTTAATGGAAGTCCTGATGAAATGTGTATGCAAGCGCTAAGCAGGAGACAGGATCACCCTGTGGAGACTGTGGCACTGAGCTGTGTTCTGAATTCACTATGGGAATAATGGTGTTATTAGAGTTGTAGTTCTAGCTAAGCACTGCTTACCCCAAATCCAGGACTTTACATTGTCTCATGCTCTGCCAGAGAACAGGTGCACAAGCAGCTGGGAAGGAGCATTTCTGAGAGAGCTGACCGAAACTGCCCAAAAGCATATTTCCTCCCAGTGAACCTCAATTTCAGTTTGGAAACTGTGGGTAGCTGGCCAGCTGCTGCCTGTTACTGCTCAGGGATGGGCTGGGCACCAGGTCAATGGGTGCTGAGTGACAATATTGTGTATCCCATGGATTTACTTGACTTTTATTTCTCTCTCTTTTCCTTGTTATTTACTCCTGTTATTGCCCTGTTTGGATATCAACCTGTCAGTTCTACCCTTTTTCCCATCCCACCATCGGAAGGGGGTAGTGAGGTAGCAGCCGGTGACTGACGGGGCTTTACCCACAACCACTTGAGCACCAGGCAGCATCTCTGTGTCCCCCCAACTATGGCATGAGCTGCAGCGCCCCTGACCAAGCCTCTGCTTCTCACTGTAGCAAGGAATTTCCAGCTTCTGTTCTTGATGGATTATTAAAATTTAGGTGAGCATTCCCCTGGACCTTTGCTCTCTGTTTCAAACTGGAGATAAAGAGGAATAAGCAAGTTAGGGCAGCCCTCGTGTCTTGCATCAAGCGGCAGGAGATGTAGTGGGCCAGACAAGATGCTCAGAAACACCAACAACCCCTGTGGTAAATTCCCCTCGGACTTCTTCCTCCTGGTCCTTGTCCTGGTCACCAGGGACATTCTGTGGCTCACCAGGGCAGTCTCTTCCTTTGGGCAGGGACAATTCTCAAAAATCTGAGTGTTCAGGTGACTGGGTATTGGTGTACCTTGGGCTGTGTGTTGAATTCCAGGGGGCCAATGGGGCTAATGATCTGTGGGCTTTGTCTTTCCAGCTGGTGGAGAGGGAAAGTGCTGTGTGAACTTTTCCACATCCTGATTCCCAAGCCATGAAATGCTGTAACAGATTTCAAGGAAGGAGAGATTGATGAGAAGAGGGAAAAGGAAATAGGAAGGGACTAGGTATGAGAGAACAGAGAAGAATGGTCAAGGGGACAGATAGAAAGATATGAAAGAAGGAAAGTGAGAAGCAGGCTTGGAATGGGGCTGAATGAGGTGAGACAGCGATGACAAGAAGAAACAAGAATCCGAAGGTGATTCGGAGATGGGAAAAAACAGAAAAACAGCTAGAGACCAAGCTAAAGACAGATAGATGAACAGATAGATGGATAGACAGACACTCATACAGTGTTTTTCCTGAAGAGCTGGTGGGCATCTAAGAAAAGGGGCTTCTCTCAAACACAGGGCTCAGTGTGTGAGGGTGGCAGATCCCTGTTTGCTGGAAAAGGTTTGTGACATGCTGCTTCAGCCATTGAGTCACTGTGGATCTTGTTCAGCACAGAAATATGTGCCTGTGTCATTGAGTAGGGCATGCTCTATCTTCACAGATAAATGGTTGTTCCTAGTCCCATTGCTCTGGAAGCGATTTTTGAATTCCTTCTCAATATCTGCTTTGCCACCTTCCACTGAATATACAACCAGCTGCATTCTGGCATCCTTCTCCTTGGGTAACTTGTACCAGTACATGTATATGAAATCTTTTCCTGATGCAGAACATTCCAGAGTCACGGTGTCTCCCACCCAGACAACTGAATCTGGTGATTGCTCAAGGGCCCAGCCTGGAAAGACAGGAGATGAAAGGTGAGAAGTGACATGCATTGAAGAGGACAAAACTACACATCCTTGAAATATGTTAAGGGATGGAATGCCACCAAGACATCAGAAAGCTATGGGACGGTGCCCTGCTTCTCTGAAAAAGGCACATGGGATCAAAAATCCCAAAACAAACCAACTTCAAATGCAACAGTGAATCTCTTTTGAGAAAAATTCAATTGCCGGCGACGATGCAGAGGGAGAAGGCACGGAGGCAGCTCCTGCAGCTCCCGGGGACAGCAGCACAGCTGCGGGTCGTGGCGCAGGGTATCCATTGCTGTTGATCGCATTGCCGGGCAACATGGGCGAATCTGCGGGAGGTGGTGATGCCACGAATGGGACGCTGGCAAAGTCTGCCAGAGATGGTGGGGCTGCCCCAGGAGGTGGCGGGGCCGCGGGTACCGGCGCCTCACGCGGGGCTGGCCGGGGTTGGGCCGGATCCCCATCCCCCAGAGAGAAAGAGCCGGGGGGAGGAAAGCGGTTCCGTTGCGCACGCTCCAGGTGCACAGAGAAAGACCCTTGTTCAGCCGTGGGCAATGCGGGGGGGTAACCAGCAGTTCGTCCTCTTCGATGGGTTCCTCTCCTGCCATGTCTGGTGGGAAGGGCGCACGGCTGCGACAGTCAGCCACAAACGCCACCACAGCCTCTCTTCACTTCAAAACATGGAAGAGGGCTGAGAACGCCAGATAAATTTTCGGCAGTCCAAGACCCCGGCCAAATACCCACTCAAAAACAGACTCCGTGAAATCCCAAATATCTAAATCGAGGGAGTGTATCAAATCTGTAAAAAATCCATGGAATTTTGTCCATTTGAAAAACTCATAAAAATTGTTATGAATAAAAAGTTATCTATTTTTTTAAGGTTGCAGAGTTAAAACTGGTTGGACCAGTTGCTGTTAAGTTAGCTTCATTGTTAAGAGTTCTTCTTCAGTTGCCTGTTAATGGTTGGTGATTAGCCATTGTCCCCCTGGTGCTTACCAGGGGGAGACACTGGGACCTGGCAGCAGGAGGGCATGGGAGTGGCATCAGAGCTAGTATGCAGATGAGAAATGCATTGCACTAAATCTTACAATTTTCCAGGAAAACCCTTAAAAACAACGAGCCAACATAGAATTAGGGGACCTAGGTGATGTCTAAGGATGGGCGCATAGTCCAGTGCCTGCTTGGATCCTTTTTGCCTCTCACCCTAAAGATGTTAACTAGGGAGAGGACCCGAAGTGTTGGACCGAAAAGCAGGAATCTGCTAATCTCTTGTGAGGGCGCAGTCCCCAGCTCTGCCTGCAAACCAGCGGACAAAGCTGCATCACCCTCCTCCTTCGTGCCACTCCTGGGAACAGCGGCTGCATGGGCGTGACCCGTCGATTTCTCCCCACCTGAGCTGATTCTCTTTAATAAAGGCATTAAAAAGGAGAAAGATCTCCTGCCCATTTATTTAAAAAATGTCTCCCCAACATATTCTGTCCTCGCGCTTCCACCTTTGCCAGAGGTTAATAACTTTCTCATCTGATGCAGAAAATGGAACCCGAGTTACCTGAGATTCCACAGGTATCTTTTCCCAGATTTCAAACACCATCCTGCAAAGGGTAGTATTTAGGAAGGGAAGAGTTAACAGTACCTTGAGACAGTGTCCTTGACGGATCAGCTGTGCAGCTCTGCTGCTCTGCGGTCTCTGGACACAATGTCCGGGAAACTTCAAAAGGCTCTTCTGTCTGCAGCCATGGCTATGAACGCTGCCCATCTTCAGGGTCCTGGTTCTTCAGGTCACTCCTGGGGTGACCATCAATGCACGTGCTCGGTGGTAACCAGATGTTGTGTCTGGTGCCCATTGTGTGGAGACATGAGTCTGGACTCCATGTTTTAAGAAGGCTGGTTTATTATGTTATGATATATATTACATTAAAATTCTACATTAAAACTATACTAAAAGAAAAGCGCAAGTGTCACAGGAGCTATGATCCAGATTGTTGGCTGTGAGCTTTAGCGGTAGCCTAGGAAGAGGTCAGGAGTCTCCTCTTGCTGATTTAAGCAAGTAGCTTAGGGAACCTCAGAGATCATGTTCTGTTGCTGTCGTGTTCCATTTTGTTTAAATGGTATGCCCTGTCTCACCCCTCCAAAATATATGGTATATTCTAAGCCTGTGGTCCTGCCCTGAACCATCATGTACCTGTAATCCCATTGGCCCAAGTCTGACTCCGCACCCACTTCAATCTCCCTCTTAAGCTGTGCTATGAAATCAGTCGCTCTCTTAGCCCTTCCTCTCTCTCAGCCTCTTCCTCCCCTCTTGCCCGTTCCCTCCCCCAAGCTCCCCCTCCTTCCCCCTTCCCCCCTTCTCCCTCAGTTACCATGCTGTTCCCGGGGATGGAACCCCCAATAAACCCTCATCTAATCAGCACCCTCAGAA